ATACGATGTTCACTTGTTTTGTATGTATCAGGGTTCAGACTGTCGTGAGAATATAGCCTTAGTTCTCGGGCATTTTGCCAACGACATTAAAAGAATTCAGTCGTCAGATTTTAAGCTAAAAGGCAAAATAGTCAGGTTGTTCTTAGGTGGAGATTTTCATTTTATCGATGATGTTCTGGGACACCAGGGTTCAGCTGCTAGCTTTCCTAGTTCTACAGACCTAGTTAAGTTGAATTCTCTAAGAAACCATGCTTCTATGCCTCACACACCTGCTAATTGTAACATCTTAAGGAGGACAATACAATCTCTGGAAAGTGCTTACAATGAGAACTTGTGTGAAAATAGACAAGGTGGAAACCTAAGAACTTTAGGTAAGTTTCATAATTCAATTATTGCTCCTGTGATTTTCCCCATAACAACTTTAGATAATGTAGTGCCACCTGTTTTGCATATTATGTTAGGAGTTGTGTTAAAACTGTATAAGTTATTGTTGAAGGAGTGTAAGACTTTAGATTGTCAAGCTGTTTCGTCTTTGTCGCATAATGAGAATGTGAGAACGAATGAATTGTGGGCTGCTAAAAGCGTTGAATGTTCTAAAACAGCAGAAGCTTTACGTTTATTAGGAAATCAATTTGTAGACGTTGCAAATCTACAGGCGCGTTGGTTAGTTTTTAATAAAAATATTTCTGAATTATCTCTAAACTCCTCCAATAAAAAAATAACCTTTAAACAGCAAGAAATGTGTGATAGTATTAGGTGTTTAATTACAAAATATGATTGTAACATTGATTGGGTGCAGTGTGGTACGTGCCAAAAATTGTTTCATCAATTTTGTGAAATTATTGGTGATTCGGAAAAGAGTGTATTGTGTGACATTGAGAAGTATGAGTGTTTAGCATGTCAGGGTGAAGATATAGAATGTCTTGACCTTTATATTTCTGAAAAAATTTCTTTTATACGTGCACAACGCGAAGTTTTAGACACTGAATATATTAAATTGCAGGTGGAGTGTGAAGACCTAGAAAAAATATCCAAAAGTAGCATGGGGACTCATGAGAGGTCTCTTAATAAGGCCCTTGAAGATATGAAAGTTGAGCGACAAGCGTACCACGGTAATGTGTTCGTAGGTAATCATTGCAAAATAGTATTGATGATGAAGCTATTAAAAATAGATTTGTACGTGTGTTTAGTGTTTTTAATAAGTTGCAACCTATTCTATTTAAGCGAAAATTTCTTTCAGATGCCGAAATTACTGAGCTTCATCAATATATAAATTTATTTGCTATCGATAAGTATCACGCGAAAAATGCATGAACTCATTTTTAATGTGCCGCTATTTGTAAAATTGCATAAAACTATTGGGTTGCTGAGTGAAGAGGAGGGAGAGTGTTTGCATAATAGCGTAAATAAGGAATTAAGACAGTTGCATTCAGTAAGAAATCAGGAGCAAAAGCTGCATCTTGTTTTAAAACGCTTTGAATTGCACAGCAAAGCTGATAGGAAGCTTCAAGCCTCTAAGGTGAGAAAGTGTGTTGTGTGTTCTGAGCGTGGCGAAAATTCATTTTATAGACAAGGTCTTTGTCTTGTTTGTGGTCATCAAATTTAGTTAAAATATTTAAAAAATTAAAAACAACAACAACAAAAAAAAATTAAAAAAGTAAGATAAATTATATGAGATCTTTAATTTGTATATAAGATAATTTTATTTTGTTCTAATATCTGTGTGATGTTAGTTTAAAATATTATTTTTTAATATATTGATTTTATATATTAGGTAGGTGCCCATTCTGTTCCTAGCTTCAGAAGTTATTTATACCGATGCAATACCTTCGCTCAGGTTAAAGAATGGAATAATAGTCTTGCATCAAATGTATGTAAAAATCTAGCTTTTATATATTAACTTGTGATCAGAGCAACTAGTATGTTGGTTGGGTATGATCTGTTATGTTTGTGTATTTAATTTAAAAGATGTATTGTTCTTCATTATATGTAACATTTTTTTATAGATATATTACATATCCATTCGATGTTTATCACCAGAAGTTAGTTCTACCTTTGCAGTACCTCTGCTTTACATACCTCCTCGCTGGTTAAAGAATGGAATATAAATCTCATATCAAGTTGGTGTAAAAATTTAGTTCAATAAATTAAGAATTTATAAACGTTCTCAAAATTTTGAGTGGAGCAATTGTTTTTCTGGTTTAGCATGAGTATGAATCTGATATCAATTGTATGTACAAAGATAGTTTACTTCTTAAAGAACCTATCAGTAAACCAACTGATTATAAAACAGTTTTTAATGGGAATAAAAACAAATTTTCAAAAGATTTCAATTAGCTATTTGTATATTCAAACACTTTATTTACTGAGAGAAGAGACTATAGATTCAAGTGCTATAAAATAATTCTACTACCAAAAGCGAGGTTAATTCAAAAACTGAAACTCAAATTTGGTCATGAATTATTTTATTAGACTTGGTGAGTCTTTATTTATTAACAACTTAACACCATATTATTAGAACTGTATGCACAGAAAAAAATAAATGCTTTAGCTTTAAATGTTTTGACTAAATATTCCAAAATCGAAATCTGGCTTTTTATTGCAATGCAATGAACTTATTGGCTTAGGGTAATAAGTTTCTAAAACAAGAACTTCTAGGTTTGAAAATGTACTCTTTTAACAGCTAATCCCCCTTTTAACTACATTTTTCATAACTTTGCGAAAAGTGCGGTTTGCTTTCAGACCTCATTAAAGTCTGTTTTAGCTATCCTTAAACAATTAAGTAAGGTTTTTTTGTTTTTATAATAGTCAAACAATGGGTATATTTGAGATTAACTATCAGAAATTAATTTTTCTGATTTTTTTTTGATAAAAAGTAACATCAAATTACTTGAATTCAGCCAACGTCATCATTTGTCGCGTTTTTTTTAAACTTAAAGAAATTTTTTTACTAATGCATTAAATGTCATAAGATGAAACATTTTATTGGTGTTATTATTCTTTTTACAAAACAAAATTATCTTGATTATTTTAAAAGTTATTGAAGTTTTAGTAACACCCTTTTAGTCAATATTTTCAAAAAATAACAAGAAGCCGTTAAGCTCGGTTTGAAACAGCCGTGCCAGTTCTGGACGTCCTAAAAAGACGTCCTTTCGACGTCATATGGACGTTTCCGTGCCCGCTGGGTAGGATAGTTTTCTATTTTACAAATATTCTGTTATATAATCCGGGCGTCTGCAACCTATTTTAGGTAGAGAGGTTTTTGTTTAAAAAATTAAAATAAATTTTCTTTAAATAATTAACCGCAGGATTACAGTTTTGATATGTTTTAAAAAAAGTTTTAAATCAAAATATTATTTGTAATTTGAACAGCCTGGATAGACATGGAAATGAGAAAACAGAGTATCATAATATTTGCTAGCCGCTTGTTGCCGACCCCTGATATAATCATTAAACATATATTCAACATTTTAAACTTGCGTTTTTCTATAAAATCATTAATTTTAATATTTTTATCAAGTCTCTTTTTGAACTTTTTTGGAATATTGCTAAGTCGGTTTGCTTAAATATGTTTTAATTAAATTAAAAAACGTTCTTAATTTAGACATGATTATATATTAAAAAATCTAGAAATATTGCAAAGTGTTAAAATCCATAAATTTTCTAAAAAACTTGTTTTTTCGCTCAATGATATGTTTTCCGCCTAATAAGTACAAAGAAGCAAAAACAAAAAATTATATGCTAGTACAAGTAGCTCTTTTTCTTCTATTTCCTCGAAGAATATTTTATTGTCGTAATTGTCTTTGCAATTGTTAAAATAATATTAGCACCGAATAAACTTCTCACTTAAAAATACTTAAGAACTTGCAATTTCTCTGGTCTTGAAAAAAAACTGAAGTTGAAGTTGGTTATTACCGAGCAAAGCTATAAAATTTTGATGCACATATTAGATTAGTGATACCACAAGAAATTCATTAAAATTTGATTGGAATTTGAGCACACTTTCATTTTTACAACATTAATACATAACGTTAGAAACTTTTTAAAATGCTACAAATATAGAAATCTTTGCCTCAATTACCCCCAAAAAATAAAAATAACCAAACTTTTGTATAGTAATTACTCGAAATTTATGTCGTTTTAATATGAAATTCGGAACGTTTTTTAATCATTATAACATAATTTATTTGAGAGAAAATAAACTAGAATAAATATTATTTTATAAATTATGCATGAAACACTGAAAAGTAAGCGAGCTAAATAGCACTAATATAACAAAATTTCAGCTCTTTTGCATAGTTATCATTTGCGTAGTTATAATTTAGCAAACTTTTAAAAATAGTCAAAAATTATATTTTGAGATTTTGCAAAATAAAAATAAAAATTACTCAAAATACAAAAAAAAAAATACTTTTTGGAAAAAATATAATAAATTAAAAACCTCCTGGCTCTTATGATAATTTTTCAGTTTTTTTAACATTAATTGAATATTCTTTTGTAATACTTTTAATACTTGACTGTTTACGTCTCTTTAGTCCTTGGGGAATTGATTTTTTTGCTACAATTGTAAGTGAGTAGAACTTTTTTGCTTTGGAATGACTGTCCTTGCATAACCAAAAAGACTAAACTCTGATAATGTATACAAAACACTCGGACGATCATTAAAATTCAATATTGCAGAATTTACTCTAATCTCCAGTGTTGATCGAATCATTTTGAGACAGCGTTTTCAGATTATTGAATTAATCGCCTCGTTTGCATTCTGAATACGACCGTGAAGACATTTTAAATGCAATTCATCTGCTAATAAATCGTGAAAAACTGGTTTTAACAAATTAAAAATTTCTATTGATAACGATATATGTTTTTTGTATGTGGTTGTATCAAGAATCTTATGGTAGCAATATTTACACCAATTATTTTCATCTTGCGGCCACATTTCATGTGGCCACATTTCATGTGGCACATCAACTCAAGATTTCAACAAGAACGGACGCACTTTTTACCTCGTGGCGAAAAAAAAAAAAAAAAAAAAAAACTTTTTATTTATTATAAATAAAGACGTATCTTTAATAAAAATTTTAACTTAATAATATGGCTGTAACACTTCCAGAAATAAAGAAACTTTTAAAAGAAATGTTCAAAGAATTTAAAAAGGAAACGGAAGAAATGTTTCAAAAGCAAGAAAAAGCAGTTCTCGATATTATTGGCGCTAACATCAAAATAATAAACGATAGATTTGAAAAAGTAGAGAAAAATGTTGATGGAAATGCAAATTGTATAAAAAAATTAACAAAAGAATTAGAAGATATAAAGGTAAGCCTTAATTTTAATGAAGGACTTATTGACGAAAAAATAGTTACTAACAACAAATATCTAGATAAAAAAATGGAACATACAAAAATAGATAATGTATTAAAAGAAAAACAACGAAACTTAGAAGATCGATCGCGCCGAAACAATCTTAGGATTGAAGGAATTTACGAGAATGATAAAGAATCATGGGGGGATACAGAAAAAAAAGTCCAAACATTCTTCACCGAAAAACTTGGACTAAAAGATGTTGAAATTGAAAGAGCTCACCGCACTGGACAAAAAAACGATGGACGACCAAGGATTATAATATTAAATTTTCAGAAATATAAAGACAAAATAAGAATATTGAAGGAATTGTATCGACTCAAAGGCACAAATACGTTCGTGAACGAAGAGTTTTCTCGAGAAACCGTCGCTATTCGAAAAAAATTGTTCGCTGAAGTGAAAGAAAGGCGATTGAATGGTGAAAGTGTTACGGTAAGGTATGACAAAATTGTTTATATTAAAACTTCTTTTAAAAACAATTTTAACGAATAATTTTATGGGCATCCCTAAAAAGAAATCTTAAATAAAATATATTAATCATGGCTACAAATGAAAACTTTGAATCTCGTGTTTTTAAAATTCAAAAAACAAATTACTCTACGTTAAATGAAAATTTAGACTCTGATTACAATATTTATCACAATAAATTTTCAGATTACTTTCCTAGCTTTTCCTAGCAGATAACTTTCCTGTTCATATTACTTTCCTAGCCAACTAGAAGGGTTTCTTTTTAAGAATGAGAATGAAAGAAATAATAATCAAATGTTAATTCTCCTCAATATAAGAAGCTTAAATAGCAATTTTGAAAAACTTTTAGACTTATTAAAAGAAACTAAACATGTTTTTAATATAATTTGTTTAACAGAGACTTGGATTTCTTTAGAAGACCTAAATAATTTTCATCTACCTCATTTTAATACATTTTTAATGGAAAGGAAAACAAATAGGCGCTGTGGTAGAGTTTTAATTTATGTTCACGAAAATTTTGAGCATTGTTTTAGGCATGATTTAAGCGTTTTGGACTGCGATAAAGAAATTGCAACTATAGAAATTACTAACTGCAACAAAAAAAAAATTTACTGAGCTGTTGTTATCGGCCACCTGATGGCGTAAGCGAAAACTTTAGCATGTTTTTACAACAAATTATTAAAAAAGGTACCGTTGAAAAAAAAAAAAAAATTTTATAATTGGAGATTTAAGCATGAATTGTTTTCTTTATAATGATAACCTTAAAGTAAAAATTTTTATGATGAAATTTTTGAAACGGGTTCAGTATCTTTAATAAACAAACCTACAAGAGTAACGACAAATTCAGCAACTCTAATAGATAATATAATAACTTCAGATATTTTCAACAATGATTTAAAAGTAGGTATTTTGCGAAACGATATATCAGATCATTTCCCTATATTCCTAAAATTAGATAATACAAACTCTGAAAAAACTTTAACCGCACAAAGAGTAATTAGAAAACGCATTTATAATGAGGCTAACCTTAATTTATTCAAAAATCAACTTTCATTACTACACTGGAATAACATAAATTTTAATGATAATGCTAACAATATCTATGAGTCTTTTTTCAAAACATTTTTTTATGTATACGATGCTAACTTCTCAATCATTGAAAATAAAATAACTACTAAGAGCTTAAATACACCCTGGATCACTAAGGGCTTTAAAAAATCGTCCAAAATTAAGCAAAAACTATATATAAATTTTTTGAAAACAAAAACACCTAAAAACGAAAAAATTTACAAGGACTACAAAAACCTATTTGAAAAAATTCGCAAAAATCTAAAAAAAAATGATTACTCCCAATTACTCAATACATTTAAAAATGACACAAAACGCACATGGCAAATAATGAATGAAATTATTGGAAAACAAAAATCATGCTCAGGTTTTCTGCCACAAATGGTTAGAGTCGATAACAAAAGTTTATACGAACCAAGAACTATAGCTCAAGAATTTAACAAATTTTTTATCGATATAGGTCCAACACTTTCTAAAAAAATCCCAAACACCAAATCTTTATTTACTGATTTTCTAGTACCCATTGATAATTGCATTGGTTCAGTTGAGTTGTCTTCTGAATTGTTGTTTGAAGAGTTTGAAAGAGCCTTCAAATCTTTAAAAAAAAATAAAGCAGTTGGAGCAGATCAAATAAATGGAAACGTTATTATAGATTGTTTTGAACAGCTAAAAGTTGTTCTTTTTAAAGTTTTTAAAGCTTCTATCCATCAAGGTGTTTTCCCCGAACTGTTAAAAATTGCCAAAATTATTCCTATTTTTAAAGAAGGGGACAAATCAATTATAAGTAATTATCGCCCTATTCCTGTTCTTTCCACCTTTTCAAAAATTTTAGAAAGAATTATATATAACAGAGTATACAAATATTTTCATGTTAATAAATTACTTAACATTAATCAATTCTGTTTTAAAAAGGATAGCTCAACTGAACATGCAATTATCCAATTTGTACGGGAAATCTCAAAATCATTTGAAAAATCACAATATACTCTAGGACTTTTTATTGATCTATCAAAAGCTTTTGATACGGTTGACCACCAAATTCTAATCCATAAACTTAAACACTATGGAATAAAAAAAAAAGTTTTAAAATGGTTTGAAAGCTATTTGTCAAATCGTAAACAATTTGTTCCGAGTAATGACGGTTATCACACCAATTGTCTTTCTATAACATGTGGAGTCCCACAAGGCTCAATTCTTGGTCCACTTCTTTTCCTAATTTATATTAATGATTTAAATAAAGCCTCTAAACTAACAAGTATTATGTTTGCAGATGATACTAACTTATTTCTTTCTAACAGTGATATCTTTGAACTTTTTAAAACAATGAACAAAGAGCTTATACATGTATCGAGTTGGTATAAATGTAATAAGTTAACTCTAAATTCTAATAAAACAAAGTGGACCTTATTCCATTCGCTTTCCAAAAAACGATATTTGCCATTAAACTTATCTAAAATTTTTATTGATCAAAATGAAATAAAAAGGGATTCCGTAACAAAACTTTTAGGTGTTTACCTTGATGAAAACTTGGAATCATCATATCGACTACATAAGCACTAAAATGTCAAAAAACATAGGAGTTTTATATAAAGCACGAATCTACCTCAATAAGAAAATTTTAATCAAACTTTATTATTCATTTATACACAGTTATTTAAATTATGCTAATATCGCCTGGGGTAGTACAGAAAAAAGTAAGTTGCAACGTCTTTATCGCCGTCAGAAACATGCCATCCGTTTAATCTGCTTTGCAAATCGCTTTTCTCACGCAAAACATTATTTTATTGAAATGAGAATTTTAAATATATACGAGCTAAATATATATAATGTTTTATGCTTTGTATACACGTGGAAAAATAACTTGTCTCAATCTGTCTTCAAAGATATTTTTACTCCGAAACCCATCAACAAATACAATTTGAGAAATACTGATTTTTTAAATGAACCTTTCTGTCAAACGAACTTTAATCAATTTTGTATTGTCTATCGGGCACCACACCTTTGGAATAAAATTGTTTTGCCCAATTTTGATTTCGAACTACCCATTACTTTTCCTTTTTTTAAAAGTAAATTAAAAACCCTATTTTTTCATTAGAAGACGTATTATGTTATTATTAATAATATAAATTAATAACTTTGCCTTTTCTTATTTATAATTGTAAAAAGTTTATTCTTACTTATTTTGTTGATTTTATATTCTTTACTTCACGTATACGTTTATATAAAATATTAGTGAGTAGATCCGCGTGATCTCTCTTTAGATTATAAAATATATATTTGGATATGAAATTTGTAAAAATTTGATACTGTTAATGCTTGTTTGAACTTATTTAAGGTTCTGACGACAAGATCCTTTGATCTTCTTTCAGATACCTTATTTTATATTTGTGAAAGTTTATTATTATCATCATTATTTTTTATTTTATTTTTTTTGGCAATATATAGTTGTAATACGACCAACAAATGTAAAATTAAAAAAAAAAAAAAAAAAAAAAAAAAAAAAAAAATTAGCAACGCTTGAGTTGAATGCACTTTTGACTTTTCAAATATATTTATGTTTTTGTTGTTTTAACATGCAATGTTGTTCTTTTTACTTTTTATTTTTTGCTCCTTATTAATATGTTTTATTTATCACTTTACTTATTTTACGTTTGTTTATTTTATATTGTCAAGGGAATGCTTAAATTAAATCTAAAAAATTCGTTCTGTAGACATAACTAATCTTATGAATAATGCATTGAAAAAAATCAAAACCTGAGTTATTTAAATTTATTTACATCATTTATTCTCGTTTTCCTCTAATAATTTTCGATAGATAAATAGTTTATTATGTTTATTATATTAAATAATTACTTTTAATATATAATAGAAAAATTTGTTATGACCTATTATTGTTATCACTATTAAAAACAAATTCAATATTTAAGCACTTATAATATTCTCGTTAGGATTTTATGAAAAACTCGAAACCTTGATTTACTCACTAGAATTTAGTTTTAACCACACGACGTATTAAAATATTCTTTATCTTCGTTTAGAATAACTCTGATTACAGTTTTATTTCGTTAAGTATAACTCTGTTTAGGATAAGTATAACTTAAGTATAACTCGTTAAGTATAACAACAAAATTTTATTCTTTAAATATAACTCTGATTTACAAATTTTATTAAAAGTTTATTTTGAATATCAATTCTCAATTATATTCATTACACAACCGCTTAAACATACTTACAACTATGAATAGAAAATTATTAAAACCACATAATAACATGGAATATTTTAGAGTTTACTACTATGCATTGCAATAAAATTGGAGGTCACAACTTAGCACGTATTTATTTAAGGATTACACCACACTAAGTGCAATAATTATGTGTGCCATATTGGTTATCAGCATATATAACAATCATCAAATGGAATATAGTTTTACACTTTTATTCCACTTGTAAGCACTACGGGCACATGTGGGTCATATATATCTTTTCTGTCGGGTTGTTTGGATTTTTGTGCCCAGGCTTTGCTTCGCAAAAGGTCAACTAAAACTTTATCATATTTATTGCATATTTAATCTACACTTTTTTTTGAATTCGAAAGTTTCTTGTTTCCAGAGCCTTATTTTTATTGTTTATTGAATTCAATTTTTTCTCCAAATATTTTACTTTGTTGTTAAAAGTTTTGTAAATTGTACTGTTACGCATTTCGAAAATATCTTTTCTATTCACCAGCTATTGTAAAAATTTCCGCCTTTTTAAATTTCCTAACAGTTAAAACGCGTTTGTTCAGATTGAATATTGAGAATGAATATTCTTTTTAAAATGTCTCTTTAAAACCTTTGGTCTCTTAAGGTGGTAGCCCTATGAAAAACTATTTTCAAGCATCAAAGTTATATTTGCAATAAAACTAAGTAATTAACAATAATTATGAAACTAGATAGAAAATCATAGAAATGTATATATAAGTGCCTCGCTTGCCTCGATATTTTATTATAA